CATGCACACATACATACGGAGTGTGGTTTGAATAAATGAATGAATGAAGTGAATTAATGGTGCACACTTTCTATATAATATGTGTGTTAAATTTTAGATTTGGGGTGAAATATATCAAGTCTTTTCAAGTAAACCGGTTGAAGTCCAATTCAAGTCCCAGGTCATTGGTGTAAAAGTCCAAGTCAAGTCACAGTCTTAGAACATTTTTTCAAGTCAAGTCTAAAGTCATAAAATTAATGACTCGAGTCCAAGTCATGTGACTCGAGTCCACACCTCTGATAAACAAACTACAGGGTGATGTCTCCTAGCTTGGATCCAGTGTAAGAATCCTGTCAGCACTATCTGCAGTACATTTAACAAAGTAGCAAAGCTGAGCAGTTTGTGAAAGACAGTCTGTCTCTTGAAATGTTCCAGTTGAAAGTCAAACTCATGTGAAAAACTTGACCATCTTCTCATCGTCCCACACAGTGGAAGCTTAGTAAGGTTTAGACCACACGCATCATTGGGGCTAGATTTTTGGTCGATATTTTTCCTTTGTTTGAATAAATGTGTATTTATGCGTATCGATGTGTCGTATCTTCTGCTCTCATTGAAAGTGTGCATAAAACAGGTGGATGGATGTTTTGCATTTCACTCCAGCTCTCAGCAACCAGTAAGAGAGCGATATTGATCTTTCTATTTCACAGCAAGAAAGCGAGTAAGTGGATTTCCCAAAATAATGCACGAATGCTAGAAACACACAGTGTAATAACCACTCTGTTCTGCCACTTACACACAGGGTGTCGGGTACGTTACTGTGGGCCATACTGTGGGCAGGTGCCGACCTGCTGTAAGTGAAGAAGATTTGATGGTAAAAATACAAAAAGTAACACTTTGAGTTTCCCTATAAGTGCCCTATATAGCAGATTCATAGATAGTTAAATGGACCTTAATGATATTTTGGGTGAACTATTAACACACACACATGCACACAGAAGTAGGAAAGGAAAAACCGAGAGAGGAGAAGGACGCACTCTCAGCGAAGCTGGCACAACCATTCCTGTTCCAACATCTGCACGTCCATCCTGCATCCTCACCTTGGTTTTTCTTGAGTCACGAGGTGGACACCGAGCAGGTGCGGACTGCCGTAGGACTTCACGGACCAAGCTCGGGCGCAGCGCCTCCTCTGGTGACCCACACTTTGATCTTTGTCAGGGAAGAAGGCCATCGCAGTAACTACACGTGTGTGAGTGCTCAGGATGTAAAGACGGTGTGAAATCTCATTCGTCAGCTTGTGGCACTGTGCAGAAAGTGTGTGTGTGTGTGTGTGGATATGGTTTAGTATTAGTTAAACATGTCAGCAAATGCTGTTGTTTTGACACAAACAGGTGAAAAGCAAAAAAGAACAAAAAAGAACAAAAATGAAGTCTATCTCAAATTGTTCTCTACAACCTTAGATGCACCCAGAAATATAACTCCGGTAGGACTCTAGTGAAGAAATATTCTCTGAACAAACTCTAGCAAAGATAGAAAAGGAGCAACGACCAGCTCAGCTGGGTTTTCATGCACCCACACCGGGGTGTATGGAAAAAGTCTTGAGTATCCAAAGCAGTCAGGTGACCACGAGTCTTTGTGTGAAGAAACTTCCAGACAAGTGTTTTTTCCCAGTGTTTCCAGAACATGTTGTTTTCTTTACAGTCCCACACACTGTCCTCCTTTCTCTCGCCTTGATTTGACATAGCAGCTATTCTCTTCTTTCTCCCCCTGCACTTCCCCCAAACATCCCATGATCCCCTGATGCTCAGGACAGTGGGAAGCAGGAAGAGGGCGAACAACACCGGAGCACTGAGATGAGGCCGACAGCGGAGGATGGGAGGAGACAAACACAGCAAGAGGCAGCATCAGCTTGGACAAAACTTCCACCCGGTTCCACGTCTTGAGATTATGTCTGATGAAGAGATTGGTAAAAGTGATTCGTGACACCTCCCTCTCCTTGGCCCTGACTCCACACGTCGCCAGCCCGTCACCTCGGGGCTTGTCTGTCCTGCAGCAGCTTGAGGGCCCTCTCGATGTTCATGCGGTGGCCCACTCTTGTCACGCCCAGGTCTATCAGGTCCTCCTTCTGCAGCGAGGGCAGATGAGCGCCCTCGATCTCATTGTCCAGGAAAGCGTCCCTGTGCTCCCCCAGGTTGAGACTCTCCAGCCAGTCCGCCACGTCGTGCTTGCTCCACAGCTCCATGGGTTTGGAGGCGAAAGGCTTGCCCGAGGCTGCCACGGCCTGCATCAGCGTAAGTGGAGATGGAGAGCGCGAGCTCCCGCTGCCGCCACACGAGGAGCTCAGGCTGTAGCCGCCGCCACTGCCCAAAGGTGGGGTTGGCAGGCCGAAGACGTCCGTGAGGGTGGGCGACACAGAGGGAGGCAGTGAAGAGCAGGGGGTGAGGGAGGACGCCGAGTCTGGAGGGCTGCAGGGGTGCGTCTGGGATGGGAGACTGCTGGGAGGGGTGGAGGTGAGGGTGGTAGCGGCGGCAGCATTGTTACGCATTCCTGAGTCATCGGTAGGAGGCCTAAGAGGGACAAAAAAGAGACGAGCGGTTAGCTCGGGTCAGACTGAGCCAACATAAAAGCCTGACATAAATAACACAGCAAACATTTTGCATTTCTTTGGCACTTTAAGGAAACGTGCAATAAACGTGCAACTGAAATCATAATTTAAAACCTGGATTAGATCTTAGTCAGACTCTATTCAGTCCAGTTCTACGTTTACAATAACACGTGGTTGCTAACAGAAGCTAACAGCAAAGGGTCAAAGTATCACAGATTAAGAAAAACCACTTTGCAACATGAAGGTAGGTCAGGACTCTTCAGGATGCATCACTGTCAGTCTGCAGTGTAGAGACTCCATGAAGGTTTACCACAAAGTGCAGAACACGTATTATCCTCGAGGCCAGGAAGGCCTGGTTACCCTGTGACTGCTGGTGCTCATGCTGCAAAACTGACTGAGCAATGACTCAAAGCAATTCTTCATACTTTTCAGTTACTAAAGACTTGCAAACAATAGCAGAAGAGTGCAATACTTCAAAAGAACACAAGGTGGCACCATATGCAAACAGCAGGTACACAAAGTCTGAGGCCATTTTCCAGTTCTGTGGTTATTTAGTTAGCTACTATGAACTTGTTAGTGTATCTTTGAACTAACACACCATTATTGTAATATGAGCACAAGATGTGATTATTAAGGTGAAAAATCCAGATTTTCTTCTTCTGAAAATGATTTAATGCAGAAATAAGTACATCAGTAATGCATTTCTCTTTAAACTGCGTATCTCTGATGATTTAACGAGTATTTAGTAAAGCATTAAGAAAATAAAGCTGAAGTGAAACTAATAGTAAATACACCATAGTTGTGGGTATGAGCTGGACCGGTAAGCTGACCATATGTAAGCTGGAACAGGTCCCGATGACCAGCTGAAGGTTGGCTGCCCATACAGCCTTCATTCCTCGTTGTAGAAAGGATTTTCTAGGCCTCTTAATATGTATGTGCAATGGCTTATCACATGATTATGACATAATTAGTATAGCAGCTTTAATAACGAGCGAGTGCAGGCTTCAGCATTCAGAAAAAGATGCTGCATGCTGAGAGTACCGCAGCCCGAGGGAAGCCGGCAGTGTTCACACCCCCCATTGGCTCTTAATGGATGGATGTCTACCACAACAATGTGAGGAGGGGAAAGGTTAGCCACTCTCATCTTTTTATAGCTATTACAGCATGAGAGAAGCTAAAATAATAGAATAATGAAGTTGCCTTTTCGACCTGAATAATGTACACTGTCAGCAAAGAAATATTAATCAAATAAATATTCCTCTGAAAGAGGCACAAACATTTCAACTTGTTAGTTTCAGACACCGTGCTCCAAAACAGTCGCAGGAAATTGAAACAGGGAAGCTTAATGCTAATTCTTCTTGGTGTTGTGGCTTTATTTAAAGCACATAGTTGAATAAGCGTAGACCTCATTATCCTAGTAATAATCCCGGCTGTCACAGTACTGGAAGATGGAATCATGATACACTACAGCTCACATTTGTACCATGTTTTCAGTCTTGGCTTGAGAATTGCTAAACTT